TTAGGATACATTCCCATACATGGTATCTCTAGGTTAAAAGGTGTGCAAATTTAAGACATTATCGGTACATGGTACAGAAGCCACACCCAGGCACACGTGCACTCGCTGTCATAAATGCCAACGAGCTATATGCTGAGGGGCAGCTCCTGAGGTGAAGCCGGGGTGGGTCCTGCTGGCTTCCTCCAGTCCCGAGCGGCCGTCGCCCTCACTCACTCCCGGCTGCAGGGCCCTGGTGCACAGAAATCCAGATGATTCAGTATTGATGTCTGGGAACCCTGAAGGGTGGCTCTTTTTTTTCTTCCAGGGCAGGGGCTCAGGGCATTTGTCCCCCTCCAAAGGGGGACACTGGAGATGGGGCGGCCTGAGCTGGGGATGGTCAGTGGGAGTCAGGAGACCATCATGGAGTTGAGTTAGGATTGCAGAGTCAGCTGTTAATGACAGATGCCAAATCCAGCAGTTGGCATACTGCCTTGCGTGGCAGACATAAGTGGAGAGGCTGATTGGCCCCTAGGTCCCCCCCTCTCTCTATTGATTTGCACAGCGCCATTTTAATCCATTATTCTTAAGACTTCCAAAAAATATCTTTAAGGAAAAGCTTCCAGCCTCAAATGCCAAAAAAAAAAAAAAATTTTTTTTGAACGATGACTTTTGGTTTAATTTGCTCTCACCCATTCTCCCACATTACAGATTAGGACATTGAGACTCAGTGACAGCAATGACTTGGCCAAAGTGACCAGAGGTACGTAGCTCTCTGATGGAACTAGACTCCTGGCCCCAGTCGCCCTTCAGGTGTTTTGAAACCTCCACCTTCAGGAAGGCTGTCAGTACTGTACCCCCTCAATACACACCACTCTCCATCTGCCATTCCAGGTTTTCCAGGCCCCTCCTGAAGGTTTTAGGGATGGGCAGTACCCTCTCTGTGTTCTCAGGGGCTACTCTGATTGACTCCCTACTTTGGCCAAGGGACCCTAGACCCAGCCTCCCTGCCGCAGCTTTGCGCATGTCAACTCTTCTGCCCCAGTGCTTCCTCCCCTCCCTGAAGCCCACCAGTCCTTCAGGCTTAAAAGTCACTTCCTCCTGGAAGCCTTCCCTGACCTACAGCCAGAGGTGATTTCTCCCTCCTGCAGCACCTGGGCCAGACCCATTCTCCAGAGGCTGGGGTGGCTGTGGGGAGCTCCCTCCTGGGGCCTAGGGCCTCAGGCCTGGTTTGGTGGGAGCCTTGCTTGTCTGGCAGGAGGCCTGGGCAATAGAGCTGTAGTGGGTCTTGGAGGCCGAGGACTTTCCATGTGATCCTGTTGGCGGTGGGGGGCCTTGACATAAAGAGCACGATGGTGGCAAAAGGCGGAGGATGGAGTAGAGCAGAGCGAGCAGGACAGGAAATGCCTAGAAAGCCCCGGGGGAACTGAGAATGGATGTCCCAGAAGAGGCTGGCCGTGGGCATGGGCAGAGGGGGCACCCAGGGCTGTGTGGAAAGAAGCCTCCAGAACTGACTATAGAGGGTCAGGGCTGAGAGAGGTGCCAAAGGTGCATGACCAAGGGTCCCCAGCCAGACACACCGGGTTCAAATCTGGCTCCTTTGAGGACTGGCCGTGAGTCTGAGGGCCAGGACGCAGGACGCTATGGTGATCAGGGAAGGGTGGGCTCAGGACTCGGATGACTCCAGTTCAAACTAGCCCATGTCCAGGCTGACTGACTTCATGCAAGGTGCCCCATTTCCTGGCCACCACATGATAGCAAGAGTCCCCACCTCAAGGGACTGTGTGGGGTCCAATGAGGCAAAGGGTGGGAAGTGGGAGGACCGCTCAGAGCCTGTCAGTCAACTCACGCCAGCTGAGTCTCAGGGTTCTCACCTGCAGCCAATAGGGATAACAGTGCCCGCTTTACAGGGCCGTGCCTGGGAGAGGGACGTGAGCCTGAGTCTGTGAGGCATTCAGCACACACATGGTAAGTGTTCAAAGGCATAGTAACTGGTATTCTGACTACCAGGCGCCAGTGGGGCTGCTCTGGGACCCCCGTGTTGTCAGTCCTGATGCTTTAGGGTGCCCCATGAGGGGCTCTGCACTGTCAGCCCCTGGAAGGGCCCGCTGAGTTACAACAGGTCTGCCCTCAGAGCCATGGGCAGGTGAGGGGTCTGGGAGAGGGATAGGGGGATTGGAGGAGTGGGGAGTTTGGGGAAGGTGGTAAGCAACCTCAGGTGCCTGCTTACTGGCCAGAAGCTCAGGCCCAGCCGGAAGCAGGAGCAGCCCCCCCCCCGCCCCGTGTCATGAATGTGGGGGAAATCAGGGGGTGGGTGCCTGGGCACCTCTATCCTCCTCCACCAGCTTGGCCTGGAGGCCCCAGGTGCCACAGGATAATCACAGCAATTGCAGTACTGCGGGACTTCCTGTCTGTGGGGCAGTGTGAGGCTGGAGCAGGGGAGGGGCTGGGAGAACCTGCAGGGAGAGTCCTGGCAGAGCTGCCTTCCCTGGGGCCAAGTGAGTGTGGCCCCTTCATCCTGAAATCCTGTGGTTCCACATGGCCCTGAATCTCAACAGAGTCCAGGAAAGCCCCTGGGGTCTTTCGAACAAGCAAGCCCATCATCTACTGAGTAAGAAGAGGTGTTGGTGGAGAGGCAGCGCTGGCAGCCCAGAGATGATTGTTTGGAGGTCAGATTTTGTTTACCGCTGAGAGAACGTAAAGCCGTGCGTGTACTAACTGGGCCCACTTGCTTCCCATATTGATTTACTCATCCGTGGTTCCAGCCAATGGCACCGGCAATAAAGGAAATTGCTTCGGAAGTTGACAGAGGAGGAGAAGGGAGCTCTAAGATTGGTCCTGTCTCCTCCAGGTGGCAGCTGGGTCCTTCCCCACTCACCTGCCCTCCAAAGCCAAGGGTGCATGCAGTTCTCACCGTGGAGCTGGACAGGGGTCTCCAATCTTGATGTGTGTTTCTTTTTCCCAAAGACCCTCTGCCTATATCAACTGGCACAACACAGGGCCATCTGTGTGACAGGGCTGCAGCGTGAGGGCATCAGGAGAGATAACAAGCAGAACTTCCTGATGACAGGCATCTTGGATGTGAGGAAGGGTGTGGAACCTCCTCCTTACAGTTCTTGGAAAAGCAAACCCAGGCCTGGGGAATCAGAGGTGAACAAGGGAGACTTCCTGCCTAGGGCACCCACTAAACTGCATCATACCCCCCATGACCTGAGTAGTGAGATTCACCAAGATAGTCCTCCTTCAAGGGGCTTCTCTGCTCTCAGGACCGGAACTCCAACTTTCCTAGTGCCTCCCAGAGCCATCTCCCAAGCCGCTGCTCCTCTCACCCTGGGCCACAGGATGCCTGTCCCTCAGAAGTGTCAGGCTTTCCCTGCTGGCCACATCAGTCTCCTCCATCTCCCAGAGGTGCTTATGAGAGTGGCTGCCCTCAGCGACCACTTAGGATATGTGTGCTAAAAGCTCATGGCTGTAGCCTGTTTTATCCCCAAACAATTGTCGTCCAGGCAGGCACTACTATCATTTTTTATGAGGAAGCTGAGACTCTGGGGGCCATTCTGGAAAGGTGATCTCCTTGTCTCTGTCCAGGTTCTCTAGTATCACTCCTCCCCAGCTGGTCCCTTCCCCAACTCCAGCCTCCAGCTAAGAGAAAACCTCCGTGCAGCTGGCCCTGGGTACCTTCTCCCTCAGCACCACCCTGGACCAGTTCATTTGCCCAGCACCCCTTGTGGATGAGTACCCGGGGGGCGTGCAGGTGGGGCCGGGGGCTCCTCCCAGCCTTCATGGGCTCACAGTCTAAGAAAGTCTAGAAGGTTTTCCCCGGGCCCCGGGGTCACCCACAACTTTCAGGACCTGCACTCCATGTCTCTGCCCTCCCCTCCGCCCGTTTACCACCCTCCCCTCCCCCTCTGCTCCTGCCCCACCTCGTCCCTACTTTTCTTATTTCTGAGGCTTTCCAGACTCCAAGCCTTGTGTAAAGGACAGCACCTTCCTGGGCAGAACCGAACCCTGACTCTCCAAGAGCAGGCTTCCGGGAGGGCTGGCTTGGCTGGCCCATGGCCCTGACTGGGCCCTTGATTTTCCCTCCCCCTAGTCCCTCACTCTGATGGCTGCTCACACTGCCTGGGCCCCAGGTGAGCCGAGTGAGCCCCCTGTGTCACTCTAGCCCAAGAACCAGGTTCTTTGAAGCACAGCCAAGACTAACGGGAACTTTCAGTACGGACTTTGCGAAAACCCAAAAGGAATAAACCCGAGGACTAGCAGTAGCATCAAAACAAAGTAGAAATATCCACTCCCACCTTCTTTCTTCCCAGGAGGGTCGCTCTGCAGTCCTGTGGCATCAGCGGCCCAGCCCCATGGGGGTGGCTCCTGCTCTCAGGGTTATTGCCCGTTTCTTCTCCTTTAAGGATGATGTAGTGGGTTGCACGGCACCCCCCCCCGAAAAAAATATACGTCCACACCCTAATCCCCAGGACCTGTGAATGTTACCTGATTTGGAAGCAGTTTCTTTGCAGACGTAATCAAGTGAAGGATTTGAGACAAGGAGATCAGCCTGGATTATCTGTGTGGGCCCTAAATCCAGTGACAAGTGTCCTTACAAGAGACACACAGAGCAGACAGACACAGCAGAGGAGGAGGCAGTGTGATGACAGGCAGAGACTAGAGTGATCGTGTATAAGCCCAGGAACGCCAAGGATTGACAGCAGCCACCACAAGCGAGTGGCAAGGCATAGAATGGTCTCTCCCAGAGCCTCAGGAGGCAGCGGCCCTGCCTGCCTGCCCCAGGACTGAGAGAATACACTGCTGTTGTGTTAAGCCATCCACTTGTGGTCATTTGTTACATCAGTCTCATGAAATGAATGCAGTTCGTGTTCTGGGATGTTACCCAAAGCCCCGGCTTCCACTACCGCCCACAAGCTGTCCATGGGTAAATCTGTCTCTCCAGGAAGGTCTCCATCCTGAGTGTCAGATTTCTGTTCCCATAAGTAGCCTCATGGACACCTTCCCCTGCTTGTCTCACAGGAGCCTCAAAGCCAACGTGGTACATCACCCATAACCTGCTGCTTCTCCCACGCTCACCCTTCTGTGATTGGTGCAACTCACTTTGACCTGCAGCGCCTCCCTGGCCCCACATTTAGTCAACCCAACTATCCCCCAGTCCTTCCACTTCCTTCTGTCTCCAAGACTGTACCCTCCAGTAACTGCCTAGCTCGCCTCTGCGTTTACACCCCACTCATTAACATTAGCTCTGAAATATTAAGGACTGGTGAAAATGATACTCAGGGCTGGCCGAGTGGCACATTGGGTAGGAGTTGGCTTGGGACGCCAGCTC